CAGATGTGAGGGTTACCTGGAAGGAGGAGTGAATCCCCTTCTTCTGGCACTAGCCAATGGATCAGGTACTACCAACTTGTTCACCATGCTTCATACCTGAACCTCTGGATACGTTTGAGATGTGATGTAGAAGAAGCTGATCTGAACATCTTTGGTCTCTACATTGAGGTTTACCAAGATCTTTCAAAAAAATGGCTCTTCTAGTTTGGTTTGTTTTTTACTTCAGTAAAAGAAAAAAGACTTGCTGGAGGAGTTTGATAGCAGCTCCTACGTCCTAAAGGAATAGTTACAGACAGCAAGCAGTTAAAACACGAAAACAACTGGACATCCAGGACATCGCTTCTCGTCTTTCTCCTCTTTCCTTCCTCTGTATTGTGAATCAAAGCTCTTGCAGATCAGAGCCATTTAGAAGACGGTCTTCTAAACCCTTCAGACTCCTTCTGTCTGGGCTAGCTATTTTGATTACTTGGCGAAATCATAGAATAATAGAATGGTCAGGGTTGGAAGGGACCTCAAAGATCATCTAGTTCCAACCCCCCTGCCATGGGCAGGGAAATCCCCCACTACACCAGGTTGCCCAAAGACTTATCCAACCTGGCCTTGAACACTTCCAGGGATGGGGCATCCACAACTTCTCTGGGCAACCTGTTCCAGTACCTCACTACCCTCAATGTAAAGAATTTCTTTCTTATATCTAACCTAAATCTGCCCTCTTTCAGTTTAAATCCATTGCCCCTAATGTGGCAGCTGGTACAAATGCTCGTGTGTATGGCACATGCTTGAAAACATTTGGAGTTGTGAATACAAAAATTGGCTGCTAGAAACTCAAGTTCAGAACAGGAGATAATATTGAGAGAGGAGGTGTGATGATGGGCCTTTTCTAGCCCCATGTGTGCGTACTTTGCTTTCATGGGCTGACTGTACCAAGGAATTTGCCATGCAGTAATTCAAGAAGGGGAAAATTCAGGACTAAGACACTTGCTTAATCAAGTGAGGTGTATGTGTAGGCAGATCAATGTGTGGAAGTTACTCTGTTACTCAGAAGGACTGTAGAGGCCTTCAGTGTTGTTTGGTTGAGAAGGACTATGTGGTTTGGTGGCCAGAATAGTTTTGGGGACTTTTTAAGACTAAGCTGAAAGAGCAGTTAATACATGTGATGATGTAAGTTTTATTACAGTGTATAAGCCATGGGAACGCTACCCCAGTGGCTAGCTAAGTGCCTAAAGGATGCTGAATAGGTAAAGTACTGGAGCACGCGCTTTGTGTCTACTTGTTGGGGTTAGTTCTTCTGCACTTTCTTAAATGTAATGTGTCTGGGCATCGTGTCTTCTTGCTTTTGTAAAGCTGCCTTGGGTAAACAAGGAAAATGATAGATTTGAGCCTTGGGGAAGCAATGGGTCAGGTTAACTCTTTGGTGATTTTTAGTGCCATTGACTTTCTGTAATAACTCTAATGGATTGTGTCACAAACAAACCTAGTTAGGAATAATAAGTGATAATTGAGCTCTCTTCAGTTGCAATCAAAAATTGAATGCTAGAATTACTTTTTTGAGATTTCTGAAAAGATGATGGGTTTTGTTTTGTATGGGTTTTTTCTTGTGCCTTTTTGTTGGGATTTCTTTAAGACTTACCCGATGTGCAGTACCTAAATGGCCGTTCTAATACGCTCTTTCAGCGCTAAACTTTTGTTTCAGCTACACCTTTTTTTATTAAAATTGCATTTTATTTTAAGAAATGTTAATTTTATGTGTTGATTCCTAGGCATTTTATTTAATTCTGACATAAACTGAACATACAGGAGTCATGTTTATGATGTGCTAGTAAGGCAGCGCTTCCCACTAAATTATATATCCATATTAAGATATATTATTAAGATATCTAGAGAAATATCAGAATCCCTAATTAAAATCCTTTGTAGAAATGCAGGTTGTTAGTTGGAGTTGGTTTTAGATGGCAGTGAACTTCAAGGAGAGTGGTGATTTTTACAGCCCCTTTGTTTCCAGCACCCCGAAAAATTTCTCAGAATTTAAAGACTGTTCTTCTGAAATGGCATTTTTAAATAGCCACGTAGTAGCTGATGCATAATGAATGAATGCATTGTAATGGACCAGAAAGATCTTAAAACTACATAGCCTGTCTTTCTAGTCAGTGTGGATATTGCAGGCTTCTGTGGAATTCAGCTTTAGCATTGTTTGGAAATAAGCTCTGAGATACTGTTACTTGACCTAACTTGATTTTATTTTTTTTTTTCCCCAACATCTCTAACCTTGTTATGTTTCGATTTCCTTGAATGCTGATTTCTAGAAGTTGATGAGTTTCTAGCTTAAATTCCTCTGTACTTTCCAACAAAGCAAGCTGTTTATGTGCAAAAGAAAGGCCAATTGCAAGATTTAAGAAGAATAATTTGAATTTCATTTAGTGCTGTTCAAATTCAGAAATCATATAAGTATGTGTGTGGCTCACAAACTAAGAAACTTGACCTTCTTTATGCATGTTTTCTGTCATCCTTGGGCATAGCTGGGGAGAACGCTTAACTCTGAAGATAATCTAAGACGGAATAATTAAGAGACTATCTGGAGGGGCTTAGTTTTTCTGTAACAAAAAGGCCAAGTTCCAGAATCATCATGACCATGAACCTTGTTACTTCCCCCCTACCCCCCTGCCTTCGGATTTATTCTGCATTGTATCATCGCTATGATTAAATAACTGATTTCCCTGTTAAATTTGCATTAAAATGATCTCTCCTGTGAAGCCATCTTTCCCTTCGCCCATGGCACTGGTTTTTCTTGCCTATCCAACTGATTATCTAAAAGATCCCTTCAAGTATCTACTGAAAGTAGGCTAATCCTACAAAGCGTATGAGATTGGCAATTGATATTAGGCTTGCTAATGCTCCTGGCAGGCATTGTATTTCAAGTAGTGAAGATCCAATTGTGTGCACAAACAGGCTCAAAGACTTTCAAAACTTGCTCGTGCAGCATCGCGCTGTAGCTCTGGATACGGTTCTAGGTATGGCCGTAGCATTCATTATTAGCACCATACAAATACTGATCTTGTGGGGTGTTTTCTTAGGCAAGACTTTTATTTGGGCTCTGGTTTATCACATATACGGCTAGTGTCTGATGCTGAAGGAATGTTTCAAAGCCTCTTTGCCTGGAGCTGTCCTTCTGATCCTCTCTTTCCAAGTTCACAGAAAGTATTTTAATTATGTGCTTCTAAAGGATAAATACTATTGCTAGCATGCTATTTTGTGGTTGAATAAATTTGTCTGATATGCAGAATCTAAACATGCCTGGCTTGCTTGGTTCTGCAGTAATTTGGAAAACAGTTTAGCAGTGAGGGTAAAGTCATATTTTTGCAGAAAGACTCGGGTAACGAAAAGACAAACAGAAAATTATATTTAGGACCGTTCTCCTGGCCGTAGTGAATAATTAATAATGCTGGAGGTGATGTAAGCAGAGTTGTGCTACATTTGGGAAGAACATTCTGGTTGTGGTATACTCCTTGTTTTTTCCGGTTGTGTCGCAGCTGTTTGCTAGTTTTCCCAATTCTACCAGTGCTTATATCCTGAAATAACTTGCTCGGCTCAGTGGGACTGTCTGTAAGCCTGGGAGTTTACAGGAGGGGATTGACTTCAGTCTATAATAAATGCACATTGAAGTTGGAAGCACTGCTTTGAATTCCATTTTGTATAGGAAAATAATTACTTGCATAAGGAATGACAGATGAGATCAGCATAGACCAACGTTGGGTTGGGTATTGGGAGAAACAGTGAAACCTCCCGCTGCCTTCTGGCTCTGGTTTCAGTTTACGGTCAAAAATCTAGAAGCCTTTGGTCTGTAAAGAAACAGGCTCAGTTAATGCTCTATACAAAGATGTCGAGATAGCCACTTTTGGATTGAAGCAGTGAATAATGGGAAAATATTAAGATGTCTCGAGTTTTCTCGGTGCTTTATACTTAGCAGGAACTGAGTGAGCTGGGAGTAAGCGTGCCTTTCTGTTACAAAATCTAAAAACTGGTCTGAGAAGACACTGTTTCTGCCTACAGTATTTGCCTGCCGTAAAATCTGTGACTTAAAAGATTAGAGGCTAAATTTTACCTGTTAAACATTTGGACCCGTCTGCCACTAGTGTTAGGAAGCATTTGAAAAACTGGAACGCTTAACAGCCCTTTGACATCTTCTGTTATTTTGGTTTCTCCTTGGAACGTTTCCAAGTCCCATCTGTATCTTGCCCCTTATATACTTGGAAGTTGAAGAGTACAGAAGCACTGCAGATTTCAGTGACTAACATTTAATGTGGGATAATGTGTTGGCATGCATTAAAAATAACATCCTTTTAGTTCTTTAGACTTTATGGAACTTAAAATGTATTTATGAGATATCATGGGGTTTTCTTTTTAAGAATAGATTATTTTTAAGTAAAGATGTAGATTGTTCGTTACTTGAACAAGGACATCTGTGTCTTACAAAAAGATGCAAACAGATTTGAGAAACAAAACTGACTTGAAAAAATAAAATAATACTAAAATAATGTTATTTGAGATGAAGAAAGTTAAGAAAAAAATAATTTAGTGAAACCTTTTTTCAAAATATGCCAAAATACAAGTATTTTTGTACTGCTTATTTTTAAAAGACTAAATTTGGTTATGATTAGACAAGTTTGTTTGCAACATAGTGGTGTAGTGTGTAGTTTGGTGTTGTTTGATATTAAAAAAAAAAAAGTCTGTAATGGTTTGTTGATTACTGCCTAGGTGTCTCTAGTTTTTACTTTTGGAGCTGGTAAAATCTTTCTGCAGACTTTTTTCTTGAGACGTGCATCAAACTCTGCCCAGAGACACTGTGTTCTGCTTAGGCTACCATCCAAAGTTATCAGTTAAATTGTAGAAATAAATAAATTACTCCCATCTACACCTTTTTATGCTTTTAGTCTATTCTGCTACAACTGTCTAAAATCCAAGTAGCTAAATTCCCAACTGTTTCACCTGCCTTCCAGCATACCTCTGTGGATGGATACACCGAACCGCACGTCCAGCCTATCAAGTCAAGTAGCAGACAAAACATCCCCAGATGTAGAAACTCCATTACATCTACCAATGAAGAGCATCCTCACATTGGAAATTATCGCTTACTGAAAACAATAGGAAAAGGAAATTTTGCCAAAGTGAAACTGGCGAGGCATGTGCTTACTGGAAGAGAGGTAAGTGTAAAAAAGAAAAAAAAGACTGTGTTTATGTTCTCTTTGACTGTCTTTGTAATGAGTATTTCTGCTATTCTTTTACCTTTCTCTTTGGAATAGAAAAAGTACAGGGGGTTTTTTGTCATTATAAAGGAAGATACAAAGAGGCTGTTTCAGGATATAGGAAAAGTTACCTGAGGTGCCTGAGTTTTCTCCCTCTAAGAACTCACTCCTGTTTTTAATATGTAACTCTTTGGTGAAGAGATCAAAAAGTTTATTGTGCATCAAGGGGTATTTTGAGGCTGGAAGGTTGTCTGTTCATCCCCAGGCATTTCCAAAACCCAAGTCTATGATAGATAGATTTCTTTGATATTGATAATCTATTGATAAATAGATGGAGCCTTGATACTGAAGTCTGTTGATAGATCCTGTGTTTGGAGGGCCTGGTTTTGCAGTGGACAGGATAACACTGTCCTGTCCAAACACTGACTGAAGTATAAAACTGATTCCTTGGTCGTACCATCTGGTGGAAAAGTTCTGAGCTCCTGCTGGTAGATCTTAATAGGTGAGGAAAACTTGCTTGATGAAATGCATAAAAGCAGACATAAATGCATGTCTTAATGCTTTTTGTTACAGAGAGTGCGATATATTTTTGTTCAAACATTTTTCTGAGTTTAATAATCCGTGGTGTTTTGTTTTTTTCCAAGGTTGCTGTGAAAATAATAGATAAAACCCAGCTAAATCCTACTAGTCTGCAAAAGGTAAGAATATACCATAACACCTGAAATTCCATAAGCAGTTGAACTGTGATCTTTTATTTACTTGAAAAAAATATTTGGTCCCTTTATCTTGCTAAACAAACATCTTTGTGTATGCATGACCTTGGGAGACAGTGGTATCCTACTGTCTTTGTTATAATGTGCACGTGCAATTTGTCCGAAGGTAGTTACTCTGTGTGATTCCTATGTAAGCGTTGCTGCCTTGCTCTTCTGTCCTCCTCCAGCTTTATCTTTGCTGACGATAAAATTTGTATCTAATTGGGTACACAAGTAGTTTGTCTACATACTAAATCAAGATGTAATGCTGGAAAGGATAGTATTTTTCTTGGATTTGTCTTTAATGTAGTAATTGGTTTTGGGGGACTTGTAAGAGCACCAATTTTTATGGCTTTAACGTGAGAGGTTTTTTACCTTTGTTTCTATATTCTTTCAACTTCAATGAAGTATTTGTTAAACTCAAGGGACCTTTGGCAATTACTCTTTGTGTATAGAATTGACAAAATGACTGAACATAGCTGGAACATTCTTGTTTCTTTGTGCCTGTAGATAGAAATTCAGAAGTTCTTCATAACCATTGTGACAAGTGTTTTAACAAAAGCCTTGGTGTTTTTTTGTTTGGTTTGGGGTTTCTTACTGTGTAAATATGTGTATGTTTGGTTTTGGCTGAAGCACAGAAACGTTGTATTGTCTTACTGGAGATTTCCTGTTATAAAAAATATGGGCTATTTTTTGTTTAGGAATACTAGACTGCTGCTGTTTGTAGCTGTAGAATGGGAGAAAGAGGGTAGGGGTTATTGCTGTCCTTTTATCTCTGGCTGCCGTTACATTTATTTTGTTGTGTGACTTTGGTTATGGGGTGTTATAAAGAACTTTGCTTTAATTTATTTTTTCTTGGATTTCTTTTAATTCTCTATTTGCTTTAATTTCTCTTCTGTACTGTTTTTGTTTGAGTATGGGTTCTTCAGGATTTTATTTTCTTTTTTTAATTCAACCTGCTGTGCAGAGACCATGCAAAAGCTTTGCTATCGTTAAGTCCTATATCCTATATTAAGCAAATCTCTTTGCTAATATTTGAACTAGTGAAGAGGGACCCGCAGAGGTAGTACGCGACACAACATATTGGCGAAATCCTGTGCTGCTCACATAGCTTGTTTCCTACCTAGCTTGATATTTGCACTTGGAGTTAGGTGGGTTTGTCTCATTGTTGAGCAATGAGAGGGTAAAAATGATAAAACTTTCTGGAAAACTAAGCATGAAAAACTTACTTCTGGGATAATCGCTTTAATGATAAATAAGCTGTATTTCACACAAAAATAATCAATAATAATTCAATAAATCATTCCAAGTATAGATGAAACTTTCATAGCCTACAAAACATGCTGTCACACTGCACAAGTAGTACACAAAATGCTCACGTAATAGGACATTGCTGCTGTTAATTTTTTTTTTTGAGTGGGAAGCTGATAACAAGAGAAACAGAAGCAGCTTATAGCAGAACTAAGAATGTAAGTTAAATTCAGTGATTTAACCACAATTCCATTCCTCTTCGGTATCTTCTAGAAATGTTTATTCCATGCATAATCTGCTTACACTGGGAAGTGTGATAATTTGTTGGTGTAAAGTTTTCCTTTGTGACATCTTGATTGTAATATTCGGAAAAAAATAATCTTTGTTTTGAAGCTCTAAACGTCTTCAGCTTCCTACAATTTTCGGAGAATTTTGAGTGAAACTGAATATTGATTCCCTGAAAGCTTTTAAGTGGGCTTAAGCACAGTCTTTGCACGATCACTCAAGCAACTGTAGGGGTTTTTTTTAAAGCAAGTTCATCAGCATGCTTAGAATTACTTCTGTTAGTATTTTGATAGGTCATTTGTGTATTGTACATAAAACAATAAAAAGATTTCTTGTTCTTTTCTATGAAATCAGTTATCTTTATTTTCCTTTCTACACTGAACTATTACATAAAATATGTGATTCTTTATGATATCATTGCAATATGAATTTTTATAATTTGGTCTACTACTGTGCATAGGACTGTTTTCTTCAAGAGATAATGTTGGGAATGGGAAGCAGTGATAGTAGTATTGTTTTAGTAGGAACAGACACTTTTCTAATGAATGTTTATGGCGGATTACTGGAGTATGTTACTGCCACAGAAATACCACTCCTGAGTTTGAGCCCATCTAAATTAGAGTCATTGAGAGGACGGTCTCTAGAACTTCAAAGCTGGTAAATTGCATGCAGGTCAGCAAAACTTTTGGGCCCTCAATCACTATTGATTATTAATCAAACAAGACAAATATGTAGTGATCTTAGGCACACAGTCATTCACAAAACCATCCCCTTTCCATTCACTGTCATGTAAAGGATACCAAGTGCAAGTAGGTTTTGCCATAGCACTTGCTACTGACCTAATTAAGTAAAATGAGTTGAGGCATTGTAGCTTCTCATGCACTGCTCTGTTTTGTAAACAGAAATATTTGAGCACATACTTCAGTTGCTGGAAGTGTCATACAGGCTGGGTCTGTAGTTAGTCACGGGTGTGAAAGCAAAGTGTTTAGTTTGTTCTTAGCCACTCTCCAGTGTTATTTATGCCATATAGCATGGACAGGGTACTTTGCAGACATAGTTATTTTAACTGAAACCATCAAATGTTAGGAGAAGACACAAGTAAGCTGACCTTGTGAATTTTGCATCCTTGTGCATGCAGTGTGATAGTCTTAAGTTATATTTCTTGTTTCGGGACCTCCACCTCTTTAAACAGACAAACAATGTTGAGTTAAGAGCACTGCCTTTTATTTTGTTTTCAATTTTTTCAGTATGTGAAAGGGACCTGGGGGTCCTGGTGGACAGCGGGATGACCATGAGCCAGCAATGTGCCCTTGTGGCCAAGAAAGCCAATGGCATCCTGGGGTGTATTAGAAGGGGTGTGGTTAGTGGGTCGAGAGAGGTTCTCCTCCTCCTCTACTCTGCTCTGGTGAGGCCGCATCTGGAATATTGTGTCCAGTTCTGGGCCCCTCAGTTCAAGAAGGACAAGGAACTGCTTGAGAGTCCAGTGCGGGGCTACAAAGATGATTAAGGGAGTGGAGCATCTCCCTTATGAGGAAAGGCTGAGGGAGCTGGGTCTCTTTAGCTTGGAGAAGAGGAGATTGAGGGGGGACCTCATTAATGTTTATAAATATGGAAAGGGTGACTGTCATGAGGATGGAGCCAGGCTCTTCTCAGTGACATCCAATGATAGGACAAGGGGAAATAGATATAAGCTAGAACATAGGAGGTTCTGCTTAAACATGAGGAAGAACTTCTTCCCAGTAAGGGTAACAGAACACTGGAACAGGCTGCCCAGAGAGGTTGTGGAGTCTCCTTCTCTGGAGATGTTGAAAACCCGCCTGGACACGTTCTTGTGTGATCTGATCTAGGTGGTCCTGCTCAGGCAGGGGGATTGGACTAGATGATCCTTTGAGGTCCCTTCTAATCCCTAACATTCTGTGATTCTGTGGTTCCCATCTTTCTCAGTGAGCACATGTTTAGAAGACAGAGCTGGCTTTTTTGTGAACTTGCTGTCTTGGTAGCAACATATTATGCCTACTTAGCTTTTCCCACTGTCATGATTGTAATTTTTTCCCAAATGTAAGTATTTGGATTTCGTCATAACTAGAATTTATATCAAAATAGCTGTTCTATTTTCTGCATGTCTGCTACGTTGAAAGCGTCTTCTTGTACTGGCTTCACTAGGGAAGTTCCTGAAATAGCATTCTGTTGCTCTTCTGCAAACTGCTAGTGGAGCAGAAGGTGCTTTTTTTCTTAATAGACTTGATTAGCAAGCGGCATTTCTGTTGGAGCGTGTTCAGAGGAGGGCCACAAAGATGATCCAGGGTCTGGAGCACCTCTGCTACAAGGATGGTTTGCGGGAGCTGGGATTGTTCAGCCTTGAAAAGAGAAGACTTCGGGGGACCTAATAGCTGCCTTCTCATACCCAAAGGGGACCTACAGGAAGGCTGGGGAGAGACTTTTTGCAAGAGTGTCCACTGATAGGACAAGGGGAAATGGGTTTAAGTTGAAGGAGGACAGATTTAGATTAGATCTTAAGAAGAAATTCTTCAGTACGAGGGTGGTAAGACTTTGGAATAAATTGCCCAGAGAAGTTGTGGATGTCTCCTCCCTGGAGTTGTTCAAGGCCAGGTTGGATGGAGCCTTGAGTAGCCTGATCTAGTTGAGAGGTGTCCCTGCCCATGACAGGGAGGTTGGATTAGATGATCTCTAAGGTCCCTTCCAGCCTATGACATTCTATGATTCTATGATTTCAGATTTTCCCTTTTTAGGGGTCAGTGGGCTTCTTTTTATTCTTTAAACATATCTAAAGCCTCACCCTTAGGTTCTTTGTTGTTAAGAAAAGCAGAAGAGAAGTGGAGAAGTAGTAGAAAATTTGGAACAAATTCAGCATTACCTATTGAAAGCTGTGCTTTTTTGCAACACCCTTTCTCAGTAATGATTTAGAAACTAGAGAAGCATTCAAGCACATCTTTCAAAGCAAGAAAAAGCCTTGGTTAACTCAGGATTTTTATTTTGATTGTAGTGACTTAAAATAGTAGATCTCAAACATAGATGTCAACCTGACAGCAAGTAGAAGTGTTAGCACTGGTGTGACAGAAGATCTTTGTACTTTCTGCAGTCTGTGACCTGAAATATGAAACTGGAAAAGCAGGAATCAAATTTGTAAGCCGTGTGCCTTTTCCATAGGTACAACTTCTGCAAATTGAGTATGGTGCTGGCTGTCCTTTACGATAAGTGAAGCTCTTGAGGCTACAACCCGTTTGCAACAAGGAGATGTTTGTTCAAGAGGTTTTTTGAATGGTAGCACTTTGTTAACAATGAAGAGTGGTCTTACATATGTGTGGTGGGGTGGGGAGAGAGAAGTCAGGGAGCACTTAGACCTTCTGAGAAAGCAGTATGCTGCTGCTCAAGAAAGTAGAGGTGTACATACATGAATTCTGAAAGCACTATTTTATCAGTGAAATAGATCATTATATAATCCTGCAGCTCACCTTGTCAAGAAAGGAGAACTAATCTCACTGTTCTGTCCAGATTTCTATAAACTTCACAAACTTGACTTTGTAGGAAACAACTGTGGTTCTGTTGCTTTAATGCATCTCTTCCTTTGTATATCTAGAGGTATCCTGGGTGTTACTGAGGGGTGTAGTGGCTCTTCTTTAAATGTATCTCTATTTGTAAATACGTAGGTATTGACATAACTAGTGTTAATGACCAGCATGCTTCTGCAACAGGTGAGGAGATTTATCCCAAAGTGATGCTCCATGGAATGCAGAGTTGCAATGTAAAATAATGTACTCCAGTACCTGAATACTGTTAATGCTTTTATTGAAGTGTTATCCATTGTTCAGAGGTTTTCTAGATTGCTTCTCTCTTGCGAGAGAAAATTGGAGGAGTGAACATTGGCATTTTCTTAATTTGTATAAATGTGCATTTGTACTGGACCAAATAAAATCCTGAAAACGCACCAGGACTCCAGAGAACGGTTAGTATGCCCAGTTTCCATCCTGCTCCCCCTCTGCTGTTTGAACGTCTGTATTGAAATAAGGTTCCCTGCTCTTTCTCCCTACTTCACGTTTGAGAGACCCTTACACATCCCCTTGCACCATATGGGCCAGGTACTATACAAAGTGTAATGAGACTGTGTGATCTCTACACAGTGCTGTTCCATTATTTCGGTTCTTTCAGCCTTTCAAACTATTTCTTTCTTCCTGGGTTGGAAGATATCTGTCAGGCCAAGCAGCTTTAGCAGAGCTATGTAGCAGTATCATGGAATATGGAAGCTACATCTGTCTAATTTGCAAGATGCCTATACCTGAGTTACTTCAGAAAAAGATCCGAAAATGTTGTTTTCTGGGTAAACAACTGCTGGAAACTTGTCAGAAGCCGATAACAACTGCATAACATGACCTCTCAGAGGAACATGGATCTCCCCATGAAGAAGGCAACGTTGTGTGCTGTAGTTTCAGTGGTGGGCAGGCCATTGGGAGAGGTGTTTTGCAGGGAGTACAACCACTTACAGTTTTTTAATCTTTTCTCAGAGCAAGCCATTTAGTCACCAGGTACCTGCAGGTAGATTACAAGTCAAAATCTCCAAACAAATAAGAAGCCAGCCTCAGAGCCACTAACCAGCAAGAAAATACTCAGTTCACCTTGTGTCTTTGTTGAGTTCATTTAGAATTTGCCTTAGAATAGCTGCTTTCTTTCAAAAGGTTGAGACTAACTACTTCCTCTTGATGTGCTGGTGGTGACTACTAGGACTGTGTATCTGCTTTTGTATGAGAACATACGCTTCTGTTTTCTGAAAAATGTCTATTCAACAGGTTATATGATACAAGATGTAAAAATTTTGTTGGTGTTTGTATGTCTGGAATAATCATACTTGGTGACATCTTCTATTTGAAACCAGAGCAAGTAAATGTTACTTTCATGTAACAAAGTTATCTGCATCAGGCTAGAGGCCGATAATGTTCTGTCTTGAGGAAAGTAGATTTTTATGTCTGTTTCCAGATAGGCTTTTTCCTTAATGGAAGAAAAAATTACATATTATGCGGAATAAAATTTCATGTCACACTGAGATCAATTTGAATCTTAAATCAATTAGTAAACTTCTAAATTCCGTGAGAATATTGAATAGAATAATGCATTTTTTTTTTCAATTACTACGTGCTTCACATTACATGTAAAATTGTGTTTCTTAATGATCTTTATTCTAGATTTGAAATTATTTTATTTATAGAAGTCTAACATTTTAATCCTGTTTATGAAGACGTGTTCATTGCTGTAACTTTTATACCAGCATTAATACTGTTAAGTTACGAAATACCTTTCCAGTCTTCTGTCAGGAATTGCACTTTTCCAGATACCAGCTTAGAAGTTCTTCTGAAGCTTTACCATCTATTGGTTTAGACTTATAGAATCATAGAATGGTTTGGGTTGGAAGGGACCTTAAAGATCATCTAGTTCCAACCCCCCTGCCATGGGCAGAGAAATCCTTCACTAGACCAGGTTGCCCAAAGCCTCATCTAACCTGGCCTTGAACACTTCTGGGGATGGGGCAGCCAGAACTTCTCTGGGCAACCTGTTCCATTGTTAGCTTCTGACTAATTGATACTGATTTAGATGAGAAACTTTTTCTTGTGCAACAAATTCACATACTTTGAACAACAAAAAACGCGCGAAGAACAGCCTGGTATAATGTTTTTTTTTCATGGTAATAACTGACTGTGTGAGGAAATGAGCATTTGCTAAAGTTCATTCTAGTGCATAGTATTACATACCCATGTTACATTTTGAACACGAGCAAATTGCATCATACTGTTCATGTTTTCTCAGAGAAATGCTTTTGTAGTCTTCGCTTCCTTCTGAAATTATTTCAATTATGTTTATAAGGCAAGTGTATAGTAACTAGCTTGAAACACTTAAATACTGTAAATCTAGAACTTGAATAATACTACTTGATCAAAAGATGAATTTCAAAAAGATGTTGCTCTATAATCTTAACTTGTAGAATAAGTGCAGGGTTTTAGAAGTGTTATGGCTTAGTTGCACAAATGGAATAATAAAAAAAAGTAAAAATCAGTGTTGTCTAAGCAAAAGAATTTTAATTTCTCTTAACTTGTAGCCTCAGCCATCATAAAATAGAAACTAAAGTGCTACTCTTTAAGGACGTGTTCGGTCTCTGGCTTTCATCGTTGTACCTTTTGGCAAAGGTAGCATCTGAACAAATGGGACTCATTTTTAAAATGGAGAATGAGAGGTCCTCTGAGACATCAGACAAGCAAAACAGCAACAGTGCACTTCTGTATTGAGTCAGGTTTATCCGTAATGAGGATTGTAGTGCTAAGATGTTTCCAAAATGTCTAAGCATTACACTGAAGCCAGTGAGCTTTTCTTTCTTCATTTCTGAATCCCCGTTTGGCCTAATACAGGACTAAAGAGCATGCAGCACAGTAAATAGATTTGATGATGGGCATGTGCTGTTCACTTTAACTAAAACAGAGCAAGCTTATCAGTATTGACAGCCTCAAGTATAGAGTAACAGAACTAGGTAGTAATTTTGGATTCCTTTTGTTTCCCTGCTTCTCTTTGAGTCCCTAGGTTAGTCTTGCTTCACCTCTTATTTAATCAATAAACCCATGAATGCTAGAAATTTAAGAGTGAAGACCAATCGTATCTGGTTTAAAAAAATAATAAATAAAGTAAACCTACCATTGTCTTAAGTATATACACATAGGGCTATAAGTTTGTTTTTAATTATGCAAGTCAGGATCATAAAGCAGGCTTTCGTCAATCATAAACCTTTAGCCCTTGCTGGGGAGGAGAGGGGACATTGCTCTTTGTGACCCAGTGTAAAGTTTTGTAGTTGTGAGAAAAGTGAACTCGCCCGCTTCACCTCTGTGGAGCATTAGGACTTGGGGACGTCAGGATTCCTGGTACCTAAAGCATCTGTGTGTTTGACTTCACTGTAGTACCGCATGTTATGTTTGCACCCGCAGTTATGTATGTGTTCAGGGTAGTTAGCTGAGCTTGCCAGTGACCGAAGAAGTCAGAGCAAAGAGCTATAAAAGTTACCTGTGTCTGTTTGTGTAAAGCTTAAAAATTAGTCTGGTTTTGGTATGTAGTTGGTAGTGAATTTTTTATATAATATGTAAGATGTAGATTACATTTTCTGCAGTTGATTGCACTATATTTGTCTATATTTTATGCTAATGCTATTTTTTGTGGCTTATGCTGCTCCTTTTTGCCATCTAAAATTGCACATCTTGTGTAACTTTTCCCTAATAAACACACTCTAAGAAAATTATCTTGCTTCCTTGACAGTTGTTTCGAGAAGTACGAATAATGAAGATACTGAATCATCCCAATATTGGTAGGAGCCCTGCATTTCTGCAAGCTTTTTCTTTGTTATACTGTTTACGTTTTACTCTCTTTGGCTTTGTTTGAACGTACTTTACTGCTATGCTTTTGTTCATTAAACTTTTTTGAAGTAATAGGACAGTGAGCATTCAGAAAATGCTTCATTGTCTCACCTCCCTTATTGACTCTGCTTGAAACCAGCATTTTACTCTGAGGAGAAAAACTGCTTGGTCCAGGAAAGCCTTAACACAAAGTAGGAGATGCCGAGTTCTCCGGTCTGTTGAGGGCCTCAACTCCTCTCTTCCATTGAAATCACTCGAGGCCAAAAAGCATGAGTTTCTTAGGTGAAAGTAGCAAAACTCCATTAGTTCAGTCTAGTAAAGACTCCCACTGACTGATATTTCCACCAAATTAGAATTACAAAGTATATAATTTTCCCTTTCTGCTTTAGTTCTTTCACCTACCCCACAGCTTCAGGGCCCTACTTTGTGATGACAATTCTTCTGGCTGAGGAGGGCTGGACAGTCTTGTTCCAGAGACAGTTAATGGTCCTGAATCGGCCAGAGGGCTTGTTGCATACAAGGTATGGATGAGGTGTACAAGTTATTACATGCTAGGCACTCCCTTCTCATCCCTTGAATTGTTTGTTGCTTTTCCAGCATTCTTAGCTTCTGCTGTTTTTTGTTTTCTTTGGGGTGGCGGTGTGTTTGTTTTAAATAAGTGGCTACTGTTACAATCTGAGGAAAGTCTTTCAAACTTAACCTTTCTGGTAACCACTTGGTTTTTAGTTGGTCAGAATCTCAGATTTCTAACTGGGAGCAGTTCACTAGCAAAACAGGGAAGGTTTGTATGATCTTAAAGATGTCTGTGTCAAACACTAATTTCAGCATGAACTTGTTTGTACAGTGTGCATAAACTTCTGAGAAAATTGTGAATTAATATGCTTTATTATCAACTGTGATTTAGAAATTAATTTTGCTTTTTTCCCCCTCAAAAAAATGCTAACCTAAAGGATATAAAGTTTTCGTATGGTGTAATGTTGTCATTGGCCGTAAATTATACTCACTTCATGAGTGCAATTTTTTTGTTTGTGCTGTGCTTTTGCTCCCTGCTGCAATCTCTCTCTCATTCATTTTTCTTGCAGTAAAATTATTTGAAGTTATTGAAACTGAAAAGACATTATATTTGGTAATGGAATATGCCAGTGGGGGTAAGTGGATTCTTGATTCTGTTTTAAGGATAAACTGAAATACAGAAAGCCATGTCAGTTGCATGCCTAGAAACGATCTAAGGATTTTATGGTTGATGGGTTATTTCAGTCTGGCCTTCACAACAGTCCTAGCAGACCCCCCAGGACAGACTTTTTGCTTCCATCACATTGTGTAAAGTAACCTTTTAGATTTGTGCTTGAGAGTAGTTCTGAGGTTTCTGCTGGAAAATCAGGAGATAATCTGATGCTCATTCTGGCGAAAACTTGACTCAGTGTTTATCTGCTATATTTAGGCAAGCACTGGTGCCTCGTTTTATCTTGAAGATGTGTGCCAAAGCACTTGGAGAGACAGGTCCGGGGGATGGGAATAAGGAACACAGGAAATGGGACCAGCAGGATCAAAAAGAGTGAGAGGGATAGTGGGTGCCTGCTTGAGAAGCTGCTTACCATCTGAATGGGAAATGTTTGAAAGTGGGAAGGGAATCCATCACAGGGCTAGTGATCAGCTAGGAAAGGCTACTCATCAGACAGTGCAAAGATGAGGATCTGAAAGGCATTTGAGCAGCTTTATTAGAAAGAGAACAAGAAGGTAAAAAAAAGAAGTAATACATATACTGTTAATTCAAGCTGCTGGAGATACCCAAAACAAATCCAGTACCAAAGTTGCCTGTTTCCCAGTGTGTCTTATGTGCAGTATGAGTGTTGTTCATTATTAAAGTAATTTTTTGTTTGTTTGTTTCACAGTGTTTTCTAAGTAAGTTTATTTTTAAAATTGAAGAAGCCTTAGTATGAAGTGTTCCTTTTTTTTTTTTTACTATTACATGTGTGGAACGTTAAATCCAATGCAAACAGTATAAAGGGATTTTTCATGGCTTCTATGTCCTTGCCCTTCAAGAAGCAAGGGATGAGGGGGTGCTTTGTTTTCAAGCATGATTTGATTGTGTGTGACTTGTCAAAAATAAAACCTGGGCAATAGGGTTGATGTTTTGTCCTTGTCATGGTCAGGAGAAGTATTTGACTACTTAGTTGCACATGGAAGAATGAAAGAGAAAGAGGCTCGTGCAAAATTCAGGCAGGTATGCAATTAACACTTACTCTTTTCTTTTGTTTCTATTTATGGTGTTTTCATATAGATATGATTGTAAGCCTACTTCTTTTACTTTAAAAATATATTCATTGTTGTGATAATGTTTATTAAAGCTGGAGTGGAAAAAATCCCTGTAGAGAAAAGTATCTGCTTCCTACTTACTATCTAAAAATAGTAGGACTGTTTTACATTCTTTTTTTAGTGGATGTTCCCAAGAGCCACGTTTTTTATTGTGACTCACTTGAGGGTTTAGTCCTTTTCTGAATATTTTAGAATTTAACAGGTTCTATCTAGAGATCTTGATATGATATGTATTGCTGTGTCATGTCACACAATTTTGTATGACGGGTATTATGTAACAGGTTTTTATATTCTTATTACAAACTTTCTCATCTTAATATGTTCCTTAGCCTGCTTTTAGTGATTATTTTGTGAAAAGCTTTAATTAGATAAATAAACAAAATTTGGTATTTTGCAGAATTAAGGTATATAATTAACATGTAAAGAAACTGCTTTTAACTTGCTGTTTCAGACTTGTATTTTGTTATACATGCATGAAAGATGTGTAGGAAAACGTTGAATGAACTATTCTGTTAAGAATTAATTGCAGAGGTATACTGCACATATTTCTGAAGATAAAATCTGAGATGGTACATCTGGCTGTTGGGTTGGGGGTGGAATAATTTCCTTTTATAGCTGCTGTTGGGTGATCTGCTTTTAAAATAGATGTTTCTCCTATTACCTTGAAGAGTATGTGTTAAACGTTAAAATGAGCTGCTTCTAGGGACTTTTTAGTTTTAGTATCTGAGCTTTAATGAAACTTGCATTAATATTTGCTAAAATGAAAGCTTTATTCATTTCTTGTGTTCTACTGAATCATATCAGGAGCCAAAATTACTAAATTATGTACAAAAACTTATAGTGAGATCAAAATAAAATATTTTACTGATCACCTTGGTGTTTCAGATTGTATCTGCTGTGCAGTACTGTCACCAGAAATGCATAGTTCATCGTGATCTTAAGGTAGGCTGTTACTTATTTTCCTTTTTGCTGATTGAGAGTATAGACCTGATATTCCATTCTATATGCTTATCCTTTCCGCTGCCTCTGCTTCAAATATGTGAATGAGGGAACTATCACTCATATTTTATTCTCAATTTTCTGAAGCACAAAAATAATGTAGCTTGCCTGTTGGAACAGGGGAGAGACAAAAATAGAATGTGTGTTACTTTCATTCCTGTTTTGGCTTTAAGAAAAAGATGTGCTCTCCGAAGAATTATACCTGCTGGCATGTAGATATGTACACACTGAAGCTGCAGAAGTTCAATGATACCAGTCAGCACTACTTAATTAAAATATTTTCAGTTAAAATATATTGCAAGATATATAAACGGGTCTTTTCTTCGTGCTTCATAGGAAATGTGTTTTGTTTTTAAACCATTTGAACTTCTGGTTTGTACTCTAGTGTTTAATTCAGACAGAAAAATAAATCGAAGGTAAGCAGAAATCAGTTGAACTTCCTTTTTTTGATACTTTCTAGTAAACTAGCTGTATAAACATACCAGACCATGTTAAAGAGTTCAGCAATTGCAGGTGCAATGTAAGCCTTCAGTCTGAAGTTGTCTTTGTGCCAAGTTTAGATATCATGGGACTCGGACACCAGATCTTCACTCACTTATAAGTTGGCTTGTGCTCTTGCTTGGATGTCTTTGTATGTTTACAAAGAAAACACTGGTGTAGGTTCTTTTTTTCTAATGTATCTAAATACTTCTGAAAAGCTGAGGTTGAGTATTTCCTAAGGGTTTTTTTTCATCAGTATCTTGTGTCTTAACTTTCTTATAATACACTGCAGCGTGCTCTCAACCTCTTCTTAGAAATCTCTTCCCTAATACCTGTCGATCTGCCAGCTCCTGCATGTGCATATGATGCTGGATAATACATCCTTTTCTGCTGAGTCTTCCCTGCCCCAGGACTATTGTCATCTGACAATGGAGGTGCCTGGCCAGCACTCTGAAGTCAGAATGCAAGGAAGGAAAGGGCTGGATCTCATTGAAGACTTGATTTTAAAAAATTCCTCCCTCTTGCGTGGTGGTGTGGAGCTCAGGAATGTTTGTCAAGCTTCCTGAAGTTTACTGCAACCACTGTTGTTGAGCTTTCCAGAAGGCTACACCTAGGAACCTGTTGGCTTGGCTGGGCAAGCCGCATCAGCCCTATACTTGGCTGGGAGTAAGGAGCCAGCTATCTCCTTGTGCTTATCTGGCACCAGCTTGCTCAGCCCAGCTATGTTATAGAGTTTTACTGCATTAACCCCTGCAATTATTTAGCATTCTGCATCTCGCTCTTTCTTCCAGAGACCATTACAGCCTCCACCCCTCATTCATTTCGTAGCTCCGTAGCACGCACACAGCTCACTGCATTGGCCACAGGACTACTCAAAACTGCTCTCAGTGTTCATGTGGGATCCCTTTTACCATCTGCCACAAGTACTCTGCTGCTGATCTTCCTATTTCCAAGACAGACAGGCAGGCTCCAAAATAATTTCTTTGTTTGCCTTTTTCTCTCCATTTTCTCTTGGATGGAGTTATGCTAGACTCATTTGAGAAGTTCAGCGTTAGGTGTGATTGAGAGCCAGTCAGCCTAGCCAATGAAAAATACAGTCCCCAAAGAAAAAAAGGGCTAAACCTGTGGATTGGAAGAGATGTTCTCACTTCGTCTCTTCTTTCCAAACGTTACGTGTCATCTCTGTCTCACTTAAAACTCTTCTCATGGAGCTGCAGAGGAAAAGCAACTTAAAAGTTGTGTCTGCATTCACATCTGCTTCTGTTGACGTTTTCCGTGGTATCAGCACACTGACCAACTGACATGGTTAGAACTGCAGGGCGGGGATCTAGCACCACTTTTAGAGATTTTTCATAAGCCTTTTTGGCTTTAATAACAGAAAGGGTAAACTCCATCAAATGTAAATTACTTCAGACTAAACTAGGAAGACGTGGAAGAAGATGTGCAAATTTGTCCAGGCTATTTTGACAGAAGAGAAGGGAGTGCAAGGCCCGTGGGATCTTAAACTGTCTCCTTTTAATTTTTAGTGATTATAAACAGCTTGCGTAGAAAGACCTCTAACCGATTCCAACTGCTCATCCTGTGATGCCCAAAACTTATCTTACCTTTTCAGTGATTGTTAATACTCTTTTTTTTTTTTTTTTTTTTTTTTTGCTCTGAACATATAACCAACAAGAACACAGTCTTTCTATTCAGGATATTAAAAAGGGGGTTTTTTTTGGTGTTTTTGTTTGGAGTAAGGAACCTAAAAGCATGGGGTACTTGGGTAGCAGAGTACTGTTGAACTAGGAGGACTATTGTAATCGCAGAGCAGCTGCACTGACAGTGATGTTTTCACCACAGGAGAATGAAGTCTTTGTGCAGTAATGTAGAAGACTGTCAAATCTGGAAAATATCTCTGTGAGTCTGTCTGCAGGCACATCAGCTGGAACCAGCAGAGACTATGGGTTGTGAATTGAGAAAATAAAATATTTTCCAGGATAGTTAGTTTGTAAAAATGGGCTGTATTTTACTCCTGATAAAGGCCACATTCTGTTGCACGGTTATTGGCTTGATATACTGGTACTTAATGGTCTCCTGCTCTGTTCATTGAGTGCAAGTGAAATTATTAAAAATAAAACAAAATGAACAAACCAACCAACCCAAACATAGTCATGTTTACCCTTTCAATCAAAGCAACTAACAAATTGATTGCTGCTTCTCTGATCCTGAACTAAGATATGTTTTTATTTTCTGGGCTCATTTCTGAGCACAGCATCCGACGAGAGAAGACTGTGTTTGCTACAAAACCGATATTTGGGAATTAGGTAAATCCTCAGTTCTGGCTAATGTCTGCCCTCCTGTTGAAAAAGAGGGATTCCTTCACTGCTCAGTGCTGCTCCTGTGTTGCTGATATGCAGATCAGTTAGTTAGATGAGTAAACATTGCCCAGTTCTGCTGCATTCCTTGCACAGCATCCTTGCATTTTGAGAAATGCACTTTATTTTTTTTCCAGTAATGCATTAGCATTTCTCTAACCTTGCTGTTGTAATCTTCTGATCTACCTGTGATACCAAGTACAAGGTACTGTTTACTGACTCTCCAGGTTCCTGAGTACATGCATCTGTGTATATGTGATGCATTGCATTCACATGATGACCGCTGCACAGGCACTAGTATTCTTAGATATGTAGAATACATGCATGTTTTCATACACAGTGTAATACTTCAGTGTTAAACACCTTGGTGGTGTTACTGCTAAAGCAAACACTAATAATAGAGGAGAGAATTTTTTGGTACAGAATGCTAAGATACAGCACGTAGCTTGAAGTGTTTCATCTTGTAAGCAGAAGAAATCTTCCTTTAAAATCTTAAATCCCTTCTAATGTTTACCCCATGAGAATGGTAGATGATGTCTGGGATTAGATTTACACTCCTTGGCATCAGAAGTTGGCATGAGCTTGTCAAAAGCTGAAACTGCTATTCTGAGATGTCTAGCTACTTCAGTCTAAACCTGAACTAAGTTATTTCTTCCAGAAACTAAGGTCTTCATAGTTGATTCATTAGCTGACTTTCAAGTCTGTTTAGCTGCTTTTAACAGTTATATTTTCCTTAAGTAAATGTAGATTTTCAATCTTTTTAATGTATTCAGGGGGATTAGTTTCTTTTGTTCTGCAAGAAAGATACAGATGGTGAATCATTTTAAAAAAATAAACATTTTTGCATTTATTGATAAATGATACACTGTAATATATTGATGTTATTCTGATACAGAAAATGTCCTTTTCCTCTTTTATTTTTCTCTTAGGCAGAAAACCTGCTACTTGATGCAGACATGAACATTAAAATTGCAGACTTTGGTTTTAGTAACGAATTTACAGTCGGTAATAAACTGGACACGTTTTGTGGAAGCCCGCCTTATGCCGCTCCTGAACTTTTCCAAGGAAAGAAATATGATGGTCCTGAAGTGGATGTGTGGAGCCTTGGGGTGATTTTGTACACGTTAGTAAGCGGATCATTGCCGTTTGATGGTCAGAATCTAAAGGTACAGTTACAATATGAAAGCTTGGTGTTTACTCTCTTTAAATCTTGTATGTCATTAGTAGGCTCACCTTCTAAAACTTTATTTTATAGGAACTGAGGGAGCGAGTACTGAGGGGGAAGTACCGCATTCCATTCTATATGTCCACAGACTGTGAAAATCTACTTAAGAAGCTACTAGTACTGAATCCAATAAAACGAGGCAGCTTGGAAGTAAGTAATTTCATCTTGGAGGGAAAAAGAGCATTTTCAGATTAAGAAAAAATAAAATACAGTAATTACTTAAGACTTCTTTATTTTTCATGATAGATACTTTCTTCTTGTTTTAAGGGCCCAAAAGTATTGTTAGAAAAAAAAATAAAAATGAGAAAATGTCCCATAAAGAGTGCAGGTTGAAAATAGAAAGTGTTAATGAAGGAAAGTATAACCTTAATTGCAACTGACTATAGACTATCATTTAAGAGCATTTCAAAGTGCAAACTGCTTCCACTTGTTTTGGTCGGATAATGGGGCTAGTTCAAAATGTGTGGAAAGCAGGACAAGACTGTAAATATCTTCTGCTTGTAGTTTTTCAGAAAAACAAAAACAGTAGCAGGCAGTACAAGAAGCATTTTTGACTTAGGTATGAGTAAGTTTAGCATGAGTTCTGAAAAAGGATAAATAGGAGGAGATAGAAAACGATGTGGATTTTTTTTCTTTCATTTAGTGCCATAAAACAGATAAACACTAAGAACTCTGAGTGATAATCCAATAATTGCTAGCGATTTCTGTTCACTCCTTTCTTTCCTCCCTTAGCTGGAAAATTAACATATATATGCTATGTCTGTCAGCTAAAATCAGTTTTGAGGATTTCTACTGAGTTATGATTTTTTTGCTGTTAGTACATTTAGGTTTTCTCTTAAAGGGATGCAGAGGGTATCTGTGCATAACTTGTAAGGTGTCTAAAATGTTCAGTGTTTTTAAGAGGCTGTTTTTGTTCAAGATTGCTGTATTGGTATGTACTTTCTAGATGACTTGAGCTGATACTTAACAAATATTTTGTGTAGAGCTGCTCTAAATGCTGCTCTGTTCTATTTTGTGAATTCTTTAACAAACAGAGACGTTTTAAAGTAACATCTGCTTACCATAGAGATGAAAGTAGAGCAGAAGAGAAATAGAATGGTTTTAAAATAGTATTTGCATGAGTTAATCACCAGTGACTTTTGTTTCATCTTTCTGTGCATACTTGTGCAGCAGTGGATGGTGTTCCACAGAATAAATCCCATTGAAGCAGCTTTTTATTTGTAATGGCATGACTTATGCTTCCTGGCATGGATGCTACCTGTGCAAAGAAGCATGCATTTACTGAGCTGTCTGAACGCAACTTATTTCAAGCTAATGCTGGTTTGTGACTTGTTATAAATAGTTTTAACTTGAATAAAACCTGTGCTGAAGAGAAAAGTGAATGGTGGCTTCTACTTTACTGATATTCAGTAATTATGTTGTATTTATTACTGTCTAGAGGACGTTATGATAGGAGCCTAGTCACTTGAAGATGGTGAAAGATCACTTTTCTTCCTGCGTTGTGTTTAAGTTTTAGGAAAACAGACTTTCCTTTTATTGAACTTTGCTCTGGATTTTCAGCAGTTTCTCTTCAGATCTAATTTCACTTTCATTCTAGGTATTGTAGTGTTAGGCAGTTCTTCTAAAATTCCCTCCTGTCCCTGGAGAGAGGTGTTGGATAGCAGCCTAGTTGGAATGGTGTAGTCATCAGATTGTGTGGAAGAGAGCTGGTAAACATTATGTGTGACGGAGGGTCTTGAGCCAGTACCAAAATAATGATGATAACAGGCATTGATCAGTGTGCTAATCTGAGGGAGAGAAACATCACAAACTTATTTTAAGATGAATGTTCCTGAAGTCACGTATTTGTTGAATTAGAAAGCTATGGTACATCGTTTAGAAAGAAAATACTATTTCTTCTGTCTGACCGCTTCTAAAAATACTTCTAGTAAATATAAGCTTTCATTCTAAGCTTCTAAAAGTGGAAAGACAACATCATCTCTTAGGTGGGGAGGATTTCTGTTTGTGCTTGTCTTTTAATTATTTGCTCAGTCCCAGCCATACACCCTCTTGGTTCCCATGCATGTTTTTCCTGGACCATCCAATAGGATGTTTGTCAGTGACATTAGCATCAAACCTGAGATTGACACAGGATCAGCACCATATGGGTTAGGCTTGATACTTTTCCTCTGGTAAGGACCAGGCAAATTTTTATTGAAGGGATGTGTCTAGAATTTTCATCATTGGAGCAGGGACAAAACATTTTTAGAAGCAAGAGAATGTTGTTGTTAAACAGTAAATCTTCACAGGAAGAGATGGGAAAATGTGCTGTCAGAAATCATGTGGATTAACTATCAGGATTTCAACAAATTCCTCCTCACCCCATCTTCAGTTCTTTGCAAAGCAACACTGTGGAATTCTCACAGAGAAGATTTATGCTTACAAAGAATATAAAGCATGTAATTTTGAGACAGGTCTTGAGTTAGGCCAGATTTTTATGAGATAGTTTTCCTGAAAACTAAAGAAAACCTCATCAATAATATCTAGTTGGTTGAAATTCAGTTTGAGTTGATCTTTAAGAAACATAGTTTGTGTCAGATCTTTAAATACCCTGACCAAGGCTACTGCTCTTTTAATCAGTTGAGTGGAAGCCCAGCTGAACTTACACAGATGTAATATTGATCCTGGAACTGGATCATTTATGTCACTTCAAAATGCTTGATTGTAAGAGCCTGTTTAAAGAGTTGTACAATAACTCAGTAAACCTATGAGATCATGTATTTAAAAGACAGAAGCTAGCAAAAGTTTAGATATTTAACAGATGGAAACCTAGAGCAGATTACATTGAACGATATAGATCCACCTACTGAAGAGACATGAAAAACTGTAAGTGGGAATTGTTGAGTTTGCCTGTTAATTCAAGAAAGATCAAGAAAGGGAGGTAGGATTTGAACAGTGTTATTCCTGTCATCCAAACACCTCATCCTGCTTAAACTTAACATTTAATTAACAGTATCTTTAAAAAAATCATAATTGCAGATACTCTTAGGGGAGTCTATCATGTTACTGCAAGGCTACAAATACGTAAGCAATGTCTATTGTCAAATTAACTCATGCTCTGTGTGCCAGAAATGCAATATAGCAATACGTGTTCACAATCCCTTCTCCTTTATCCCCCCCAAAAGCAAAAAAAAAATCAATTATGTGTCAGAACTTTGAACAAATCTTTAAATCTTATTGTCAGCAAAATGTTAACTGGCCCAAGTACAAAGTTCTGTATTCTTCTAAGGATACAGCTATTTAGGTCTGTAATTTGGCAGCAGCACTGCATACAAAGAATTTGATTATATCAATGGAAAATTGAGTCTTTTGCTCTTTGTGAGAAATTACTTCATTTGGTGTTTGCGAGGCATATTTGGAGCCTGTGGGAAACTTGACTTGCTGGCACTCATTTCACTCTTCTGTCAATCTGGTGAGCAGTATTAGCATCTGTCCCTAAAGAGGCATGTGTGCTGGTTCTTTGGGAGGGAAAATGTTTTAAACTGTTTTAAAAAAGATGTAATACATCCCTAAGGAGAAATTGCAGTAGTGGTGGTGGTGGTGGTTAGGGATTCCAGGCTGATCGATCCAGGCCACTGCAGAAGGAAATTTTCTGAAGAATGCAGGAGAAACTTTTAAACTAAATTATCTGTACGACTTAGAGTTGAGAAGCATTTCTCTCTCCAGCCAAACTGTGAATATATTTAGGTCAAGTGCAGTGAGAAGTTCCATAGGAAAAATGACCAGTTGGCACCACGATCTTGAAACAAATGACTGTAGGAAGCATTGACATGCTCCTGAAATATTCCTTGGTTTCTAAACACTTCCTTTGTTATTATTTGAAGGTGTTATTTATTGTGGTAGAGTTGGTATTGTAGTAACATCTAGGGATCTTAACCAAGATTAGGACATGAGCGTCAGGCACTCAGCAAGACGAGATTAGGAGACAGTGGAAGTGAAGGGTATAAAATGAAAGACTTTTGTGTGTCAGAACTGCAGGGCTTTTTTTCTCTTCAGTTTTTCTGGTATTTTGGGCTAAGGTGGGGTTGTGTTGTAAAAGGTAGGGGGGAGTGAACTGATGGAAACAAAAGAATGCGAAAGATAGAAGAAACTATAAGATGTGAGGGAAAAGGTGTGAAGGAAAGAGCAGCATTGAGATTATTAGAATTTTAAGGTTTTTTTTCCCCAGACCAGCTAGCATGGATTTAATCGGCTATGGTAAACAACATACTGACCTAAAACTAATTTCTTTTTTTAGCAAATTATGAAGGATCGATGGATGAATGTTGGCCATGAAGAAGAAGAACTAAAGCCATATACTGAGCCTGAACCAGATTTTAATGACACTAAGAGAATAGGTAAGACTTTTACAAGGATGTTGCATCCAATGTACATAGGCAATTTTATCTTGTAAGTCAAACTAAACTCTTCTATCAAATTTGAGACAAAATCTTATCGTACAAGTAAAATGTTTTCTTTTTATTTAAATGAGAAATTTCATTACAATGCCCTCATAACTACTGTTGCGACTTCACTGAGCTGAGATGAATCTACAAGCACAGCACAAGACAAATAAAATTACAGAATTCAACAGGCAGAAGGAAGCAAATTTTGTTATGAGGGCAACATTTTTCATCCGCTGTGGTCAGAGAAAGATACTGTGTTGGCCCTGTAGCTATTCATAGTTTCTATTTGCCAGTGTTTTATTTGTTTGTTGAATAACATTTAATGTTGAATAATATTGGACTATGTTGAGTAACAGTTGAGAGTTTTCAAGAAGAAATTAACAATGAAAGAGGGAAGTTGTAGCCTTTGTGGTTTTGCATAGCAAAGATGATGCTGGTTGAGATGAATCCTAGTTACCTGTTAAATTATAAGGTTTTTTTCTATTTTCGTTGTTAAGTTGTCAGTAAACCCAAGCACTTACTCTGCTAATGTATCTAGCTCTTTTTACTTTTAGACATTATGGTCACAATGGGCTTTTCAAGAGAAGAAATCCATGAATCTTTAGTAAACCAAAAGTACGATGAAGTCATGGCTACTTATCTACTTCTAGGTAGAAAACCGCCTGAAGTAAGTGCTACCTAATGTACATCTTCTATTCTGGCCTCTATATCTAGCTGAGTTGAATGTTCTGATCGTTGATGTTTTTATGAACTGTTTTGTAAATTTAAAAAAAAAAACTGTGATCAATAACATTGATATCTTTCCATTTTCTTATCTTCTTGGTTAGCTGGTTAGTTCCCATATGAAGAAATAGATTGGATATAGTATCTTCACATACGCTTGTAAATATATTGAATTTCTGTTTTAAAAAGCTAGCTGTTAATTTGGAGTGGCATGACTTCTAAGTGCTGAGTCGTCTTCCTGTCATGTGTGTTTATAGTTAAAATCTGAAATAGTTAATTTGACTAGAGCAATTATTCTTCTAACTGCTAAGATGTGACATCCTTGATTTCTTAGAAATGTACTCATCCTTTCTCATTCATACACTATATTATAGTATATTTTATTATTTAGTAAGTAATTGCATCATAGCCATTAATAAATTTGTGATAGAAAATCTTTTGACTGTTTTGGAACTGGAGGGATCTGTAGATCTTTTGGGACCGCAGGGATTTTCAAGAAATCAAGCTGAGACCAAGGCTTTCTTTTTGAAGGAATTTTTTTTTCCTGCTGCTTTACTGACCTTCCTTCATTTCCAAGATAGTGTAGATCTGATACGTGCATCCTTGAATGCATTTTCCTACAACATCTCTGAACCAGAATTCCCTTGTGATGGCAGAGCATGGAGGAAATCTGTCTAGAATTATTTTCATTTAGACTGCTTGGGCAAGGATATTTGTGTTTTCTACTGCTCTTACTTAAAACTTCTGCTTCTTAGATATCAACAAACCAGTGGCTGAGTTACATACCTTTATAAAGATGTGTTGAAGGCCGTGAAGAATCCTTGAATCAGTAGTACTTGCTTTTTTAGCCCCTCTGACTCAATCCGATGCATTTTGAAATTGTTCTGAAGCTTATAAATGCTCTTTAAGCAAAAAAAAAAAAAAAAAAAAAAAAGGCAGGGGGAGCCATTCTTTGGATAAGGTTTTAAAATAGCACGTTTTTTCTTGCTGTCAAGATTCTTCTAATTTTATTTTGAGCATTCATTAACTTCTTAGCTTTAGCTGTGCGTTTTTAAAGCACATTAAACACAGATGAAGTCATAAAATTCATCTTGAAGAAAATTAAACTGTGGATAAAATTTCAAATTAAAAAAAATGCCTTTGATTAGAACTCTCTGCTTTATTATGCCATAAAAGTACCAGTAATGTTAAATTTTATTTATTATTTGAAAAACTGTTTTTCCTGTAGTTTGAAGGAGGTGAGTCCTTGTCCAGCAGCAACTTGGGTCAAAGGTCTCGTCCTAGCAGTGACCTCAACAACAGTTCTGTGCAGTCTCCTGCTCACCTGAAGGTCCAACGGAGTATATCAACTAATCAGAAACAACGGCGGTTCAGTGATCATGGTGGGGATGACATTCCAACAAGTAAAGTAACATAAACAATTTAAGTCTGAATGTGCAGTGTTTTGTGAACCTGGCAGATCCACCACTCTGTGCATTTGTTGTGTAGCTCATCGTGCTCCGCTGTGATGCTTTTATTTGTATGAACGCTTCTATGGTAAATCCGGGTCAATGTAATTTACAGATTTAATTTTTTAACTTGTTACTCGGTTGACTCACCGAGTAAGAGCTTGAGGATGTTTCCTGTTCAGGAAGTAATGGCAACATATCCATCTGGATAAACTCAAAGGCAGCAAACCATTGTGTTTATCAGTATGCTTGGAGTTGGGGCCAAATTGTTTGTTTCCAAGAGACAACAATTTTACCGAGTATTCAGGAAACATTTTCAGGTGAAAGAGATTACCTCAAATCAAGTGCATATTTAAAACATTAAATGAAACATGATTTTTTTTTTTGTCTCAGAGAACTATCAAATTACTAGAAATATTTCTAAATGTTTGGCCCTTTTCTCTGCCTAATTTACATTGCTATTTCTGATTTTTTTCCCCCCTTTTTTTACTATTCTTCCTCCGTGTTAGTGTGGTGGTGTTTTTTTCAAGAAAAGTAACCAATATTGTGAAGATTATCAGCTTGATCTGATTTTATTTCAAGGGAATGTAAAATTCTACTGATGCAGGATTTTCCCCAAAGCATTTTAAAGAATGATGAGGGAGAAAGGATTGTAGTTTTTTTCAAGTGTAAACATGCTTTTAAACACAGTAGTTCTAAGGTTTTCAGAGGAAAAAGATCTTTCACAGCGTTTAGAGGTAAAAGATATGTGGCATAAAGTACTAAAAAAAGTAATTTGAAAAGTATATTCTACTTCCTTTTTTTCATAATATTGCACAAATTGCATGGATTTAAAATGAGAATTAAAATACTCTTTTAGATTTTGCATATTGATCTGAAATGGGAACTAATTCTAAAGTGCAAATTGGTAATGAAAAGAGAGTAGGTAAAAAGAATGTAGGCTGTCAAAGCTCAATTTAATAGGTTGGTGTATCTGCTGAGTTTGCAGTCATAGTTGTTCAAATGCTTTTTTTGGACTTGGGGAATTATATTTAGACTATTTTGGCCAAGAAAAATGCAGTGATTATTTTTAGGTATTTATTAATACCGTTTTTACTTGGCAGTTGGTCCCTCAATTCCTCCTGCTGTGTCATACACAAAAAGGGCTCAGGCAAACAGTGTGGAAAGTGAACAGAAGGAAGACTGGGACAAGGATGTCTCACGCAAACTTAGCAGCGCTACAGTGGGATCCAAAGGAGAGATGGCTGCAAGTCCACTTGTGGGTCCAGAGAGAAAGAAATCAACTACAGTTCCCAGTGTGAGTGTGTGTCCTTTTGGCTTGTTACATTTATTTTTCCCTATTTAAACAAAATCTACAGCATAAGGTTACTATAGCCATAATGGTTAGTGAAAAAGCCACTAAGTCTATTTCTGGTGACTTTTACTGGCAGACAGAAATAGACTACAGTAGATGTCTTTTAAAATAGATGTTTCCCTTCCTCTCATGACTTTACTTTTTCTAACAGCAATATAACAGTAAGCACAAGAATGTCTGCACTTGGGCAAACTGAAGATCCATCAAGACAAATAGTGGATATTTAGGGAAGGAACGTTAAGAACAGAGCCAATATGGTGGAGTGCTCTTGTTCTGGTTTATAATGCTTATGTATCGACAGGAAAGTCTAAAGACTTCCCACGTCAGAGATTTCATTTGAATAATGCTACGTAATATCACTCATGAACTTTTCCTCTGTAGAATTGTCTGTTGAGCTTTCTGAAACCACTTCCACATTTTGGATTTCAGAAATGGGGTGAGGTGAGGGGGAGCAACCCACTTGTTCCCTGGTGTGTGTGCCTGTTGGTGTTAGGAGTTACATCCTGGTTCTTGTATTAAGAAATTATTAATTTTGTAGTTCTTCTGTTATGATATCGTTCATAGTTTTGTAAACCACTATCATATTACTGCCTCAGACATCTTTGTTCCAAATAGGAAAGCCTGTCTGTCGTAATGTGAAAGTATCTACTTTGCCTTGTGGAAGTTCCTGTGCAGTAGTACCGGCGTTACAGGACACACATGTTACAGGAAGAGTATTGCATAGCATTTAAACAGTTACTTAGGAGCAAGAGGTCATGGGGGCAGGACGGGTGAAGAAAGAAATATGCATGAATCGTAATTTAAGATTCAAGTATACTTTTTGCTATTTAAGAGACGTGCTGTAATAAATACAAAAATTCTGGCCATCTTTTAGTACAGTA